GTATGAGAGTTGAAAGGTGTTTATATGTAATGGTATGAGTGTTAAAGGGTCTTTTTTGACACTACAAAGTTTTGAGATTTATACTTTAATACTTCCTCCTTTTGATGTTAGTGGATTTAGTTTTTGTGTCTAATAAATTAGAGATATGATATTTTATTGATAAAATTTCTTGTTTATTCTTAGTTGATCATCACTTAAATAAGATTTTGTATTTAATATATATTATAATTATCTTTTTAAAATAAAGATAAAATAAGTATAAATATATTATATGACATCTTAAAAAAAATAGATGACTAAATTTAAATGTCTTAAATTAAAAATTAGGTTTATCAAAGTTGAGAAGAGAGAATAATTATTAAATCACATAATTTTAAGAAAAAAGTATTTGTTTGTCGAACTTATATAAAATTGAAAGAATAAAGTGTTTTAAAATTACGTTATTTTAATAAATTTTTATTAAAAGATTTAAAATAATTCATTTTTAAAATATGAATGAAATTGTTTGGGTTTGTTCTTGTGAGATTTTAATGAAATAATGTAATTTTAAGATATTTTTTCTTAATTTTTTAAAAATTTGATTGATAAACACTAATATCTAATTTTAAATAAGTTACTCTTAATTTTTTTATGAGTTGCACTAATTGCTTCTTAATTTGGTCAAAAGAATATTTGTAAATTATTTAGTAGAAATGTTTTGTAATGGCCATAAAAAAATTATTTTTTATTAAAATAATTTCATAGTTGGTGAAAAGAAGACGACTTTATTGTATTCTTTTTTGCTGAACGACTTTATTGTATTCTTTAATCTTATGATGTTTAAAACATGAGATCATGATTTGTTCGCTCCCAAATTCACTACATAAATTTATTTTGAATTTCTTATGTTTTCTCCTTGCCACCCATTAGACCTAAGCATACCATATTCTTCTCCGTTGCCTATCTTCAGAAAAAAAAGTACTACTTTATTCTTTTACAAACAGAATATTTAATTTCATGATAATTGAGAAATGTTTACATGTCAATTAGTCAAGAGACTCAAAATTCTTGACGTAAAAGGAGGTTTTATCTATAGGTATGATGCCATGCATCTACCCTCTCCACCTATTCTCTTCCTTTGGTTTGAACTACTTTTCTTATCCCTTTTAAAAAAAAAAAAAATACTCTTTTTAACTCAAAATAATAGATATTTTTATTTTTTAATTAAAAATTTAAAAATAATTTGTCCTTCTATTGTATCAACTTTAAAATAAAAACTTTATTTATCTCATAATAATAGATATTTTTTATTTAAAATTTTTTAAAAATAATAGTCATTTTTTATATTTTAAAGAAAACAAATATTTTTTTCCACTTTAATCTTATAATTTTCTCTTAATTTTAATTATACATCCTATCATAAAATAGTTTCTTTATTTTTATTTCTTTTTTAAAGATAAAATATGTAAAGATAGAAATTATACCTAAATTCTTAATTCCAAGATAAAAGCAAAAAAAGGTCTATATTATATTAGGACAGAGGAAGTTAAAGAAATAATGAAAGATTTTTTTGTGAAATGATACATAATTAAAATTAAGAGATAACAAACAAAGTTAAGTAGGAAAAAATGCCTTTCTTTTCTTAAAATATGAGAATTATTCTAGAACAAATTCTAAGTAAACAATACTACTATTCTGGACAAATGGGGTAATTGTTTTTAACTCTTCACTCCATCCCAAATTACTATTACTTTTTTACTCAAAATTTGTTACAAATTATTTGCTTTTTCTTATTCTTTAAGATAAATAAATATATATTTTTTATAACTTAATTTTAACTGTCTACCTTAACACTAAATTTTTTTCCTTGAGAATAATATAAGTAAATTATAAATCATTTATAAATTTGTAATATGTAAAAAATTAAAAAAAATGATAATTAATTTGTGATAGAGAAAAGACGATGGAACTTAAACCCTAATTAAAAAAATGATCAAAATTAAACTTGCAAAGTAGCATATCATTATATATAAAGAGAAGGAACCATATATATTAATTAAACAAAAAAATATATTTTACAGTCATAATTATATTAAATTGTAAAGCATTAACTATTAAATTAAAGATGTTCATTCAATAAATAATGTTTTGTTTTTCGGTGCAATGGAATTTACATTAAATATATATTCTCCTTACTCATTTTTAATAGTTATATTATAATTTTTATATTTTTTAATATAAATTTTAAATAAAATTTAACATAATATATAAATAATAATTAAAATTTTTTAATTAAATTAAAATATCTGACAAAAATTTTATATAAAATTTTTTTAATTATTAAAAATATAAATTATTAAATATTTATTTAAAATATATAAAAAGTTACCAACGACCTAAATAGATAAGTGGTAATTTTTTTTCGTTGAAAATAAAAGATTTTAAGTTCGACTTGTATAACATATAGATAAAATGATATAAAAAAAATTACCTCTAGTTGTGTAATTAAAATTATATATATAAAGTTTAAAAAATCAAATTATAACTA